GAGACAGTTGTAAGCACTGTGTAACTGCCTCGAGGGTGCTTGACCATTTTAACACAACGTGGTGCGATCATCCCCCTTGCGCGGAGTGAGGGTTCTCGACCCCGCACAACATGATCTACTCGACCACCATTATGGTTACCGCGAAAAAAACAACGGAGGTAAAAAAAAATAACGGTAACCTGGTTGCCGAGTTCACGAAGTGAATTGGCTTGTTTTACAACGTCGTTGCCAAGCGACGATAACCCAACCCCGATGGTAAACACCGGGGGGGGGGTGATAGACGCTGCGCTCTCGATGGCAGGGTGTAGCAATGGCGGCAGCAGTGGTAAGGCGAGAGGGAGTTTTTCGCGACGGGAAGCGTTTTTTGAAGTGCACGGACAGACCATTGGTTGGGAAGCGGACAATGCACGATTTTCCCGCGTTTGCATGAAAAGGCATGAGTTGGGTCTGACCACACAACACTGACTTTCAAACTCCCGGCCCGGCGCACCCCCCTTCTTTAACAAAAGCAGGTTGAGAAAGTATTTGGAGACCAACGCCCTGACTAGACAGGCGCACATGGTGGCCGAGGGAAACCCGAGGGTGGCCGACCACCTTACGAGCCTGGGAGAGGAGGTCGGTGGCACGGTCACCTTGGAGGGCTTCGCAAGGCTAGCGGTGGGGGAGAGAGAGCCAGCCCCGTCTTCGAGCAAATGAGTTGACTTGTGTGTGTGTTTGTGGAGGATTGTGTCTTTGCCGCGCGGTTCGTTGATTGGTGCCGTTCTGGTTGACCACGTCTTGTTTTGCGGACCGGGGGACAGGCGGGGCGGTGACGCCGGAACGAAAGAGTGTCGGATTGTTGAAAAATTGTAACGAGAGCGCCCTCTTTTCCCACTGTCGGAGGTGTCGGGAGCACTGCACAGTGAGGTGTCCCAAACAGGGTGGCAGTAGGCGATATCTGCTACGGGACAGCGACTACGAAAAGGGTGTTTGTTGTGGTGGTTCGCTCACTATTTGGTGTATCAACGCTTCTGTGACAATCGTCTATCGCGTTTGCTAATCGCTTGCAGGAAAGGGCTTGCTTTTATTGGGGGTTGTTGGACAGAACAGACTCCATTATCACTCCGAGTACAAAGTTTACCTATTCTCGACGGCCCACCGCAGGTATGGGCGGCTTGTTCGCAACTCACGTGAGTTGGTGGTTAGTCCCCGCTTTTCAAGCTCCAAGCTCCAAAGGCGTGGTCAACTCGCAGTTCAACCTGGCACACACTCACACACATATGAAGACACGGGTACACGACAATATGTCGCTTTCTCCCAGGACGCCGTCGCAAACAAGACCATGTAAAACCCTTCAATACCGACTGACAATTGAGACTGGCTTCATTCTCAGGCCTCACGACGGCTTCGCTTGTATGATGTGATCTAATTTCTAAACTTATCTCAATACAATTGGAAGAACGCGTCCTGTACACACGTGTATTTCTAATCGATTTGCTCAGCGGAGCTGCAGGGATGACTTGATGAAGGGCGGTACGAGTCAAGCTCTACCTCACTCGACTACATCCATCGGCCAAATCCTATGCTTATATCTTCCGCCCGCCCATTCCCCGCGCCCCAGATCCGCTGGTGCCGCCCCCACCACCATCCTCTAAAACCGGCAGCGCGAAAAGGGCGGCCGGCACGGAGGTTGGCTTTTCATCCGCCGTCCTTTCCCCGCCTACACCAACGGCGACCACTCCGCGGCCTTTAACTATGCGCCCCCGCAAGCCCCCGACGACATCGCCGCTGCTTATCAAGCCTTTGGCACCACCGCCCCCGCCCCCGCTGAATACTCCGATTTCCGGTGCAGCTGCCACGACTTCGGCTTGCTGTCGGGAGGAGCGCATTGCGTCCCTACTGTCGCGGTCGTGAAAGGGAGATTGCTGGACAGAACCCACTCGTTGTACAAAGTTTGAAGGAAGACTCCCACGCTCGCTCCAATCGACCTGATTCGTTGGATAGAGATCAAAACGTTTGTTTTCAGTTGGTGTGCGTGAAGATAAGAGCATCATCAGGATAGCAACAGCAGCAACAGAAACGGGTAGTGTATGGGTGCCGTCCGTGGCGCAGAGCCAGTCCCCCAACACACATTTTTGGTGTTGGGGCCGAAGCGACACCCGTAGGCAACGCGAGATCACATACAATCGGCCAAACTTATCGTACCGAGTACGACAAGAGGTTCAGTGATCGATCTGTCGGCAAGTCTCTGTGGTTCCAAAGTAGTAAACACAAGAGTACAGTGCAACAGTTCTGTCACGACAAAACGGAACACGTGCAGTGAGTGGACTTCTTCAACGCTCTGGAATGAGCCGATACTACAGGAAAACACAGCCATTTGTCACCTCGGCCCCTCCCACCCCGGAACCGGTGGTGATGTTGGTTGGGCTCAGCCATCTCGGGTTGCCACCTCGCTTGACGACCCCCGCCGTGGCAACATCCCCCCCCCCCCCCCCCCCCCCCCCCCCCCCCCCCCCCCCCCCCCCCCCCCCCCCCCCCCCCCCCCCCCCCCCCCCCCCCCCCCCCCCCCCCCCCC